CCCCCCCCCCCCCCAATTATCGAGTTGGCTACGTCGCTGCACAGCACGAATTAGTTACAGGTCTGCTTTCCCTTTCCTGCTTTGGATAAATTACTGACAAAAAGCCAGGAAACGTTAACCAAATAACCGTACCTAGGATAGAAAGAAAGTAAGAATATAATGTTTGGTTAAAAATAATTTGTATTGCCCCCTCCCCCCGCCTTGTGGGATCCTTATTCGACGTTTTATCACCTTCCAAGCAGTTTTGCAACGATTGAAAAGTCCCTATCCAGTGATTTTTACAGTACAACTGACCTTTGAGCTACAGCAAAAACATTTTCTAGTGGAATTTGTGAACACTTATAAAAATTGACAACTTCCTCTCTGTCACTCTGTAGCTCAGTTGATTAGAGCGTGGACTGGAATTACAGGGGCGGAGCTTCTTGTCCTGCCAGACGTTGCATTCTTTTCAATAAATGTATGAAAAATTCCACTCGAAATTCCCATCCACCGTACATTGGCAACACGAGTACATTCACTCAGAATAACTGTACTTCTACTCGTGCATATTCGTGACAAGATGAAAATCACTCTAGGAATCGCAGCCAAAATTGAAAAATGTAAATTGGCCTTGAAAGAACTTATTTACACCATAATATTTTCCACTCAGTGGCGTAATTCGATTCCTAGAGTGATTTTCATCTTCGGGGCATCCCGGCAAAAATGAGCATAACATTTTTGCTAGTACATAGGGCAAATTGACCCGAGCCTCAGTTATAGAGGGCCTGCAATTTGCAACGGGTGGCGCCCAAAAGCAGGAATTAATGAAATTGTGAAATTTGGACCCCTCTTTTTAGTAGACATGGATGGGGAAAATATTTGTGACTATTTATTTTTTTTAATATTCATACAGTAGTCCGGAAAAACTTTCGAAACACTTTTTTCAATGAATATGGTTCAGAAAATCCCCCCCCCCCCAACTCTCTCACACTTCTTTTTGGAAAAAATAGGGACCCCACTTAAAAATTTAACCGGGGCCTCAGGAGGTCCCGTCACGCCACTGTTTCCACTTCAACCGTATCGTAACGTACCGTAACATATTCATTAGTTCCACACTACCGCCCAGGAAACAAAGAAATACGCTACGTTTCGGTACGATACGATTGGAGTGGAAAACTGGCTTTATTGCCTTTATATGGCCAGAAATCACGAACATTAGACCAAAAAAAAATATGTGGGTTTCCTGTTTCTTCTCATAAAAACTTAGGTAGGGTAGGTCGATTTTAACTTTTTTTTTTAACTTTTTTTTTTAATTTTCCGAACAAGCGGACGCCATTTTGTTTAGTCAGTGCTTCCACATCCAAAGATAAATTTCCCTAATATTCCCTCAAATTTCAATTTTCCACAAACTTTTTCCTCCAAGTGGAAACACTTACAAGCATGATCCAATAAAAAAGTTTAGGGTCGGGATTTCGACGTCCAAAAGCTAGGTAGGGTCGGGAAACCGGAAACCCACATTTTTTTTTGGCCTTACTTACCCATTTGAATGACATCGATGTATAACCCGTTGAGGGGTGGGGGGCGTTGAAATGTGGCTTCTGCAGGAAACAGTAAATTATATTACGCCATGCTGTAAATCGCAATGCCAGAGAATACGGTAGGTCGTTTGCAATTTGCCTCAATTTCTGGTTGCAGTGTCTGAAGAATAAATATATGTTATTTACCGGCTGCGAGGTCCGGATGAGAAAAACTGCGCCCGAGGTCTTGAAAACGGCCCGAGCCCGAAGGGCGAGGGACGTTTTGAAGACCGAGGGCACAGTTTTTCTCATCCGGACCGACGCTGCCGGTAAATAACGTGTTTATTTTTTATCAGATGTAGAATTTAAATTCAATAGAATTCCAGTGTTGCTTGCGAACTGATTTGAGATCAGTGCAGTTGTGTATTTTCAAAGCGAGGCCATTCAAAAATTGAAAATTTGAAAGATATAAAACACGAATACGAAAACTCGAAAAAACTGGCAAGAAACACACAAAAAGACGTATAGTTTCAGTAAAAATGTACATGCTTCTTTCATAAATATGGTAGCAGAGAAGATTTGGAATAAAACCTTTTATGCCTGGCGTTTTGGTTTGGCTTTGACAAAATCAGCTGCTCCTGACAACGACAGGTTCATGTTCAGATCGGATCAAAAACACATAAAAATCAATCTGTTTTGATTTAATTAACGTTTTTCTACTAAAAAACAATGAAAAAGGTATGTTATTTTTATATTTTTGTATTTTTGCTTGTCGTTTCACGATAATATGCTTGAAAAAAGTGTTTTTAAAAACAAATTTTTACTTTGTTTACAATATTTAATTCAGTGAAAAATGCATGACACAAATGGGCAGAGAATATATTCGTGACTTGTTTTCACTGCTGCAGTTAAGTTAAACCTTCTTTTATTAATAAATGGGAAGACATTTATTTCACAATATCTGATTCAGCTGTAATTTTTTAGCTTTTAAGTGGCCGAATATATGAGCATTTAAAAAATATATAGTTTTCTCGACGTACGTTTTATACATGTCAAATAACTTTCCGACTTTCAGTCGCCTTTCTATATCAAAATATTGTCAATTCTAGTGAACATCGTGCTTAGTATGAAGTCTTTAGGGCTTGATGCAATTTATTTTCGTATTCTGACTATCGTTAGGCTGTGATTTTCCAACGTTTTTGGCAGATTTTTTCGTTTAAAAATTGTTTCACTCCTCGGTTTTTAGCGCGAAAACCAGAGCGGGCAGTTGCATTTCACAGCGGGCAGTTGCGTTTCAGAGCGGGCCGGATGCAAAAAACCGGCCCGCTCTGAAAGGCTCCTCAGCCAATCAGATTGCTTCATTTTCACTGATAAAAAATAAG